GTGTAGTCGTGTGTGTGTGTGTGTGTGTGTGTGTGTGTGTGTGTGTGTGTGTGCGTGTCTGCGCGTATTTGGTTGTGTGTCTGTGTGTGTGTGTGTGTGTGTGTGTGTGAAGTTGTAGTTCTCGAGACCGGTCTTGGCCTCGAGACCGGCCTCGAGACCGTTTTCCTTGGTCTCGGTCTCGGTCTTGGCCTCGGAGTGCAATGACTCGGACTCGGACTCGGACTCGAGCCCTCCGGACTCGAGGACTCGGGTCGAGGCCGGCTCGAGGGGTGCGTGCGTGCGTGCGTGCGTGTGCACGTACACGTGCGTGTATGCGTGCGTGTGTGCGTGCGTGCGTGCGTGCGTGTGTGCGCGCGTGTGCACGTAGACGTGCGTGCGTGCGTGTGTGCGTGTGCACGTACACGTGCGTGCATGCGAGCGTGCGTGCGTGTGCACGTACACGTACACGTGCGTGCATGAGTGTGTGCGTGCGTGTGCACGTACACGTGCGTGCGTGCGTGCGTGTGCTTGTATCGAACAATATCACGCATCTGCTTGCTGCAACTGCGCATGAAAACACAGAGACACGAGTCATACGAAACGTGTCAAAGTAACGGATCCATTTCTGTTTTACACGAATGACATGGCTTGTTGAACCAAATTAGAGAGTGCTAGTACCTTCGAAGTGGTAGAAGAAGAGAAAGAAGTGGTAGGAAAAGCGCAAAGGGACGAAGTGACAGCAGATTCAAACCAAAGGGACAAGAATCTTAATCGAGCCATTGAAAACGTTACAAGATTTGGCCGTGTATCTAGAAAACCTAAAAGTTTTAGTTTTAAATTCTTGTAAACTGCGTCGTGTTACAATATGTACAGTTGTGTACTATGTATGTAGTGGGTGAGTGCGTGCGTGTGTACGTACATGTGCGTGCATGCATGTGCACGTACACGTGCGTGCGTGCGTGCGTGTGTACGTACACGTGCGTGCGTGAGTTCGTGTGAACTTACACGTGCGTGCGTCCGTGTGTGTGCACGTACACGTGCGTGCGTGCGTGTGCAGGTACACGTTCGTACGTGCGTGTGCATGTGTGCGTGCGTGCGTACGTGCGTGCATGTGCACGTAGACGTGCACGCACGTGTACGTGCACACGCACGCACTCACGCACGCACGCACGCACGTATACGTGCACACGCACGCACGCACGCACGCACACACACACACACGCACGCACACACGCACGCACGCACACACACACACGCACGCACACACGCACGCACGTTTACATACACACGCACGCGCGCATGCATAATAAATCGGTAATAATCGCTATCGGGTGTTGTCGTGTAGACGCTACAATTATCGCTAACTCGAGTTAACGCTTAACTCGAGTTAAGCGTCGTCGTGTAGACGAGGAGAAGAGTTTAGAACTTAGAACTAACCAGTACTGCACACGACAGTACACTGCACAGTGCAGCACGAGTTTAGCCCGACGAGGCTGTGCGACTGATTGTCTATTACAAAGTATAATACAACTACAAGTATACATTGTAATACAAAGTGATTAGTAATACCGTTTCTTGGAGCTATACGGGTTGCGGAGCAAGCGCTATACACGTGATTTGTACGATGTACGTTCCCGTTTAGCTTTCCTCCAACATTTGCTGTTTATATTTTATGATATGCAGTTTACAAATAATGCACCGCATGCCTTACACTTACCAACTACCTGCCTTCCAACTCTGGCTGCCTCCCACACTCACACTGCGATACTGCTCCTTCGACGTGCTCTATGCAACTGCACGACAGCAAACACATGGCTGGATATAGTTGTGCAATATTTGCTCTAAAAATAGACACAAACATCTATGATGTCATTTCTAGCCAATCAAGTTCCCTCGTCGCTTTGGAGTAAAACATGATGTCATTCGCAATAAAAGCTGCGTACGTAGCTCCATCTTTTGGAAGCGGACAGCAACGCAAATCCGAAAGGGAATGGAGACGCTATCCAGAGTATATGCGTGAGATTCAAGTGTATACCGAAATTCATTTCAATCACTAAATTGAAGTATTTGAACATCTTAACACTATTGCATCTATCTGATTATTTCTCCATGAATAAGACTGTTTCGGTACATGTACTCGTGTTTAATTTACACGCAATGAATTATAAATATATACTGCAGCAGCATTATATGGTATATCGATCGCCTTCCACCAATTTTTATTGCATCTATAACGTAAAGCAGCAAGTCCAGTGAAGTACCTAAATTTGCATTTTCAGCAGACGGCGCATACAAGCCCCCAGGTGAAACACTGTCAGCGCACATTATTACCATGTCAGATGTCTTAATCGGATATTTAGTTGATAACTGTAAACTGGTTCATATTGAAATATATCATAATTTTTAACGTACCTTCACGACAGTTTCGATCACTGTCAGCGATTTCAATTTAGTATTGAGTGGCTTGTTCTGTGGCTAAACTTGCAACAACCATCCCAAGCAAAAGAAGATTAATTACTCTCAGAAGTTGCATTTGGAAAGGGGTGGTAATTACTATGACGCATGTAAGCGATTAAACGGGAATGGAAGTGCAGACACAATTCCTTCCCTGCCACTTTCCTGTCTTCCCGCCCCTCGCCTCCCCCATCTTCCCCCTTTCCCCTACACGACTCTCACCGACCCATTACCTCCCTCTCTCGCATGCGCACAGAAAGACACACAATCTATTCTCCCCTCTCTCTATCGGTGTGCATGCGCGCGCGAGTGTGTGTACGTATGTGTGCGTGCGTGCGTGCGTGCGTGCGTGCGTGCGAGCGCGCGCGTGCGTGTGTGTGGTATATGCTATACATGGACTCTATCATCTCTATTATGGACTCTTGATATATATATATATATATATATATATTCATCAATAAAAATCAGACGTAGTGATGATAATACATGGCGCGGGATACGCGCGTTTCCGCATCTCCCTATTTTTAACGTTGATCGAAGAGCTAGAATTAATAAACCGAGCATGTCCTCAATATCCGGCTACATAAAATCGATCATCTCACGGACTCATATATCGATCATATCATATATAGTCTCCATTATGGACTCTTGATATATATCAATATATAAATATTTATATGAGATAGAGAGAGAGAAAGAGAAATAATATATATTATATGCGCGTTTCTAGTCTTCGTTTTTTTATTCCGCACGAACTAACATGCTCGATCAAAGACAAAGAGCTTATAATGATCATTATATTATAAGCTCTTTGTCAAAGATCAAAGAGAAACGGATTGAAAATAATTTCTGATTGTTCTCTCTAATGACGTCAACTTCTGAGCGATCGAAGCGCCATGCGTGTGCGCCAGTCGAAGTGTTGGTGTCGGCGAAATTGTATGTTTGTGTATACTGATTGCAATGATTTACTCATTTTATAATGTCTCTGACTCTCATGTTTTTCTAAATAACATAGCATATATGGTAGACACCAAATGACGTTTTATTTATAATATCTTTGCTGTCAATGTCATAAACACCACTAATGCTAGCTAATCAGGCAAATGGCTAAATCCATCGCTGTAGGCATTACAGTGCATTACTAACAGTACTGTACTCTGTAGTGTAGAGTGTAGCGTTACATATTCGTGTCCGAGTTACCCGCGTGCACGTGACAGTTTGCTCCCGGTAGGACTACATCGACAGTAGACGTCACTAGTGCTGGGAAACGGCCGTGAAACTCCCGGGGGGGGGGGGGGGTACTCGCCCACATTATCGTAGGTATGTGCCACTGCGAAGTCAAAAATGAGGTGCTCTGGAACTAACGCTCATAGGGTATGTCCCCAAGGTTACTGCTGGAACGTACGTACCTTGGGTACGGTCCGGTATACCGGAACGTACGTACCCTGGGTACGGTCCGTTATACCGGAACGTACGTACCCTGGGTACGGTCCGGTATACTGGAACGTATACCCTGGTAACTATTTGATATATGGTTAGGGTTAGGGAGTAGGCGACTCCCTATAGACTCATTAGTGGAGTAGGCGAGGTACGGTCCGGCATATTAGATAGTACCAGGGTACGTTCCTGTATACCGGTCCGTACCCAGGTTACGTTCCGGCAATACCTTGGTGGACATAGACCCTCTCAGCGGAACTAACTCAGACCTGAAAATAGGGGTCTCTGGAGCTAAATGTTTGTTGAATGTGAGATGCTCTGGAACAGGCTATGTTCGAAAATGGGGGTTTCCGGAACTAGGATTTCGTTGAAATGCAATTTGCTATGGAACTGGACACGATTAAAAGAGGGGGTCTCTGGAATGTGGAAACTGCGGGGGAACTGTGATTTGCTTCTATCACAATATGCTGTAGCACTTGAACCAATAATTACCTCCGCGCAACGGAGTTGCAACGGAGGTCATGTAATTGGTCTCGTGTGTGTGTGCGTGCGTGCGTGCGTGCGTGCGTGCGTGCGTGCGTGCGTGCGTGCGTGCGTGCGTGCGTGTAACCTTGGCGCGATCGATTCAGCAGCAGCTCACCTTAGGCCGTCGAGTCAGCAGCAGCTCGCCTTAGGGCGTCCAGTCAGCAGCAGCTTGCCTTAGGGCGTCCAGTCAGCAGCAGCTCGCCTTAGGGCGTCCAGTCAGCAGCAGCTCGCTTTAGGGCGTCCAGTCAGCAGCAGCCAGCAGCGAGCCAGCTGTTATATACACATACATGTTGATCCTCAATAATACTGCAAAAAATCGTCCAAATAAAACGGGGAAAGTTTATTAATTTGACTAATACTGCAACATAGTTTCATGAGCAGTAGTGTTGTACACTCTCCTTCTTTATACGCTTTTGATAATAGATCTATCTTGGTTAATTTTTACTCAACCTTGTTCATTCAATCCATACTGCTGACGTTTCGCCTCCTATCAGGATGCTTTCTCAAAGCTAACTGAAGTTATCAGTATTGACAACCAGATGGTGTAGTGGTCAACAGCTTGGTCCACACGTGACTGAGTCTGTATCACCCCTCATCACGGTTGATGTTTGGGGTCTTGTGGATCCAGCTTGAGACCTTAAAACATTTAGTACACCGTAAGGACAGAACAGATATACACAACATTACAGACAAGTGTCTACAAAATACTGTATGCAATGTGTGGAAAAAGTTATATTGGAGAAACCGGCCGCAAATTTGAAACCCGCCTTAAAGAACATAAAAAGGGTGTACACACCGTAGCTCCCAAATCTTTCACAAGGGCCCAACGAAAACAGTCTGCTACCGAAATAACCAAATCCGCGATCACGGACCATGTAGCGACCGCCAATCACACTATCGATTGGGAGAATTCAAAAATTATCGATCGCGAGCCAATCAAAATCAGGCGCTAGATTAAGGAAGGCATTGGTCTAACTGTTGAAGCCACGCCTGCATTTTTTAATTGCTGTTGAACTACGTCCGTGACGCCTCTGACATATGGTAGGACAATCATCGCCTTCGGTTTCTCGGGTGAGGTTTTCTTATAGGATGTTGATTGGACCCGTGAAGTGTTAATTTCTTTGGACACTTTGTCGAGTGCCCAATTGGGGTAGCCGCATTTACCTAGCGCGTCCTTGATGTGGCGCGCTTCAGCTTCCCGGTCCTCACTCTCTGTTATGATCTTATCCCTACGATCAAATAGCGTCCGTACCACTGACAGTTTGTAGTTGACTGTATGGTGTGGGTTGATGTTTAAGTACTGGTCCGCTTGGGACTTTTTCTTATACACAGTCAGTTTTAATGAACCATCTTCTCGTTTATGAATGAGTGTATCGAGGAACGAAATTTTTGTATCTAGTTCTTCCTCGAACATCAATTTGATGTTGTTGGTACTGTCGATGCTGTTGAGGTGTTGTGTTCATCATTGGAATGTACCAGATCTTTCACAAGGGCCCAACAAAAACAGTCTGCTACCGAAATAACCAAATCCGCGATCACATACCACATAGCGACTGCCTATCACACCATCGATTGGGATAATTAGAAGATCATCGATCGCGAGCCAATCAAAATCAGGCACTGGATTAAGGAAGCCATCTAGACCTGCACAACCCCGAACATCAACCGTGACGAGGGGTGATACAGACTCAGTCACGTGTGGACCAAGCTGTTGACCACTACATGACGTGGGCCAACGATGGCGTATGGTTGGCATGGTCAAGGTTGGCAAGTGGTTGGCTGCATGACGTTGGGCCAACGTTGGCATATGGTTGGCATGATGCTACTTGCAAATGGTTGGCTGCATGACGTTTGGCCAACGTTGGCACGCTGAGCAAAAATCCGTTGGCCCAACGTTGGCATGGGCTGAAGACAGCTGTTGGGCCAACGTTGGCCCAACATCAGCATGTTATCTGGGACATCTGGTGGTCAAAACTGATAACTTCAGTCAGCTTTGAGAAAGCTTCCTGATAGGAGGCGAAACGTCAGCAGTACGTTTTGAATCAACACGGTTGAGTAAAAATGAACCAAGATAGATCAACTATAAGGTCGTCGTATGTTGCCAAATAACAATGAGGTGCATGTGTATGTTATTTTCATTGACCTTGCCAGGACTTGACACTGGTTATTCAATGGTATAAATCATTAGATGCTGGTTCATTGGCATAGCTAGCACGGGGATGGGCAGTTAGCTCTGCGAATCAATGTAGATACTATTGTATGATCACTGGTCAACTACCCATGCTTAATCACCTAGAACACAATCTGCACGTGGTTTTGCCCCTTCCTCCATCAGGTATATTGGTTGAGCTATGCCCCAGAAGTTATTAAGGAAAAAAATACAAGTGTAAATCTGTTCATGGTGAGGCTTAAGTGGTCATGCATTTGCTTGTGCATATTTTTTCAGTGTAACACCAGTTAGTGTTTTGAGCTACAGCTCATTGCAACATGAATGGAGAACATATCAATGGTACCAGCATTGCCCTTTCCTCGAATGGAGGTGAAAAGGTGGCAATTCTGGATGCAGGTGCACAATATGGCAAGGTATATATAGAATGCTGCTGCTAGTAGTAGCATTCATACTACTATTGTTTAATTTGGCTGAAGTTAGCTATTTATATGAATTAATATATAGCTGCACATTAACATTATTTGACCTCGTATTTTTCAAACGTCTGTGCCGTAGGTCGGTCAGTATGATCCATATCAAAGTGAAGTGCTGAAAATTACCAGGTCTACATTTAAAAGATGATACATGTTCTCTGTTCGCTGTCTAGAAGATTAATGAAATTACAAAGAAATTTGTCAAACAGAGAATTGTGTTTCGCAAAGTTTTATTTGTGCCCTTATTGCAGGGTGTGAAATTAACGGGAGTCGGGAGTCGAATACTCCCTGATTTACTGTCGGACTCCCTGATTTGACATATGCAGGAGTCTGTGTGACTCCCTGAAAATTCTGCCATACAAACTAGTTTGTTCCGGAGCACGTCCTCGCAGAATTACCGTATTTTTTCAGCTAATTAATGTCCAAAGAAAATTTGGCAGACGTGCAACCGCATGAATCTTAAAAATAGGCACATGCGTTATTGTTAATATCTTTAATTTTGAACCTCAGACTGCGGACTCAGACTGCGGACAGCTCATGTTGCTGCGGACTCCCTCTTTTTGAGGGTGGACTCCCGTGTTCAAAAGTTAATTTCTACCCTTGTTACTGTTTAGATAAGTAATTAAGTTGGCATCTGCTGGGAACAACTACAAGCATCTAACCAGATATGTTGCAATAGATATATCGCTATCATTGAGTACAAAATTAGCTCTATGAGTCGTTAATTTTATTCGCATATCAGCCTATCAACCATAGTCAGGCTGAGCCACGGAAGCTCTGTGATCAGTCGCGCATAAAGCTCACTATGACCCATTATGTTAATCATTGATAGTTGAACTGTTGATATAATCATGTTGTATTTGTAGGTGATAGATCGCAGGGTTCGTGAACTCTGTGTATCAGCAGAGATCTTGCCACTTGCCACACCTGCTTCTGCTCTATGTGAAGCTGGCTACAAAGCTATAATCATATCAGGCAAGTGTTCATCTGTTCCTGATTTTAGGTGTTTTAACTATTTATTTGAGAGTTATGTAATGTAATAAATTATGGTACGTTTGATAATTTGTGCAGTAGAGCTGTTTAATGTAATACTCTAAATTTATAGTAAACCATTACTTATCACTCCATTTAGTTAACACAGGGGTCCTTGCTTTATCTGGACAGATTGGGAAACATGTAAATGTTCCCATTTAGCATTGGTCCCGATTAAGAAGTGAACACTTATCAAAGTGCATATATAAGGATTGCTTTTTCAAAGACGTATCGTTTAAGTGATATGCCCGTTTATCATTACTTAAAAAGTTTTTATTACGAGATTTTTGCTCAGAAATGCTCAATCCAAAAAAAATATAACGAAATATAGTCTCACGTACCTCACAGCCGATATATTACTGATTACACTAACTTGAAAACCACTAAGATTTTATGCAGTTATAGCATAGAAAATTGGATATGAACACATCGTAACACAACGAAAATAACATCGAGTCGCGAGATTTGTTAAATGTGTCAACTTGCAATTTGTCGGTGTAAACGATATTGTACGAGAGACGTGTAAGTCTATGGATGATAGCTGGCTCTAGAAGCACTACTAACTGGTCCAAGATTCTAAGAAAAGGCTCGCTTGTAATCAAACTTGCATGTTTTGGTGAATATTAAGGGTCTAGTACATTTTATCGTTACTCTAGACAGTTACTGTTACTCAAGCAATAACGGTAGGTAATTAAACGGTCATACAAGTGGGGAAAATACTAGATAATTATCGAAAATATGGCTTTAAGGTGGACCGAAATCTGTGTATGCTGTGGACGCAGAGAAATATGATCCAGAAATTTTTACCTGTGGTTTACCAGTACTTGGTATCTGCTATGGTCTTCAGGTAAGTGTATTCAAAACAGTATTCACTGTAAGATTGTAAATGATTGTAAATATATTGACAAGCATATTAATAATAAATTAATTGTCATGGCCAATAACCTTTTATTCACATTTTCTGCTACTTCTGTCAGTTGTACGTGCATCTACATTTAGATTCGTATGTTGCACTTACCATGTGTATAGTGTGGTAACTCTTTTGTCTTAGGTTATAAATAAGCAGTTTAATGGAACAGTCACAAGAAAGAACACGAGGGAGGATGGACAGTTTACCATTCATGTTGACTCAAACTGTCTTCTATTTAGGTAAAGTCAATTTAGCTACAGTTACTGTTGACTTGCTTGCATATATTTGGGGTATATATATTTGAATTCTTAACATTTAACTGGCACAAGTCTATAATCAACTTATTATACAGGTGCGGTTACATATGGGGACATTTTAACTTTGGGTGAGCATAGGAGATTTTGAACAATTGTATCTATTCTCTCTGGCAGGGGGTTGGAGAAGGAGCAAGAGGTGCTTTTAACACATGGTGACAGTCTAGACATGGTGGCAGATGGATTCCAGGTTGTAGCAACATCGGGAACGCTCATCGCAGGTAATGACTTACTCATCTTCATCTTCCAAAGATTTACCGTCTTGTTTTCATTTATCTTGGTGGAACATGAGATATAAAGAATAATTGGAGTCGGGAAAATGCGTGTCATGTTGGCGATCAAGTTGAAGGACATTTCACAAATGCTGCATATTCCTCTTGCAGGGGGTTGGACTTTAATTTCATTTAGGGCAGGGCAAGTGTTGCCTTGGAATTAATCAGACGACTTAGGGCACCATGGAAAACATTTCCTTCAATGAATAACTCCTGAGACATCTTACTGTTTCTTAACACCTATTCTGTAAGACAGGGAGCAATACATTATACATATGCAACATGGAATTCTTGGGGTGGGAATAAGTGAAAGATAAATCGGGTAGGACAGCGGAATACTGGGCAGATTTTCGAAGGCAGCACATCACTTAATTAGCATCTGTGCCATGGCATAGTGCGAGTCCTGCTGTTTAATGCTGATCGTCTCTGTGCAGCCATCGCTAATGAGAAGGATAAGATCTACGGTGTGCAGTTCCACCCAGAGGTCGACCTATCTGTGAATGGTCTCGCGATGCTGCGTAACTTCCTATTCGACATCGCCTTGTGCAAAGCAACGTACACGCTGCAGAGCAGAGAGCAGAGCTGCATAGATGAGATTCGGTCAGTCGTCGGGAACAACAAAGTACTGGCAAGTATATAGTAACAGCACTCATGCACTGCAGGCGATGGTCACTGAAGTATATAGCGCCGTGAGCAATAACACCGTGGCAGTCCCTCAAGAGGTGGTGGCACTGGTTCTCGATGATCATTGTCGTAACTGCAGATTGAGATGAAGTCTGTCGCATTTCCTTAGCCGGTGGCACCACTGCTGGCTGTCGTGAATATTGATGGAATAAAACAGTAGATGAAAATCTTGTGATATACTAGTGGAATTGTATGTTAGATGATTGCCTAAGCAAATGACAGGAACTTGGGGCATGAATCGCATTGTTTCAATTACTGCTGTTGCCACGACAGATGCTGCTTAGTGGCGGAGTAGACTCGACTGTCTGCGCTGCCCTTCTGCACAAGTGTCTCCATGACAACCAAGTGATTGCTGTGCACATAGACAATGGTTTCATGCGCAAGAACGAGAGCGCACAGGTCGAGGAATCGCTGAAGAAGATTGGTCTCAACTTGCAAGGTACGTGTTATGCCATCTGTGATGACGTTTGCAGCAGTAAAGGTTTTAGGTAAAGACAGGTAGGGAGAGCAATCATGGCATTCAATGCCTGGGCTGTTGTGAAATTCGACTGGCAGCAAGTGCCATGCATGGTTACCCTCCTCCCTTAGTTGTGTGCTTGTGGCTTGTTTACAAGTTTTACAAAAATGTTATTAGTATATATGTCAAGAACATGTGTTGTTGCAAGTTCATTTGTCCTGAATGCATAGTTAATTATGTGTGAGACAACTAAAAATGGGGAAACTGTATTTATGTGTTGGATATACACATAAATCCCACGTGGCTATATAAATTCATCTATAACAGCTACCACTATGTATTGAGTTTATTCTGATACAGAGAACACACATGCAGGTTCAATGAGTTTAAATTATGAAGTGTGCATAAAATAGGTGTTGGCAAAAACCGCTTAACATTACATTTGTAAACGCCTAGCTACTACCACAGACCTCGGTGCTTATTTTGAGATCTGGTTGTTCTGTCGGGCAACAAGACACAATTTTTACTTGTCCGAATTTTGGTTTTACTTGTCCAAAATTTACTTGCAATGTACCGCCATTAAGGTACATTTTTAGTTCAGTGCATATCATATATTACAGTATATACATGGAAAATCGTAATGAAATTCACACGTTTATTTTTGCGTGCCGATTGCAGCTTTTTTCTCAATTCCAGGAAAGAGTTTTGCTGTCGCTCACTCATACCAGCAGTGCCCACCCCATACATATTCAGTAGTGAACATGTCCCACGCGACTGAAACAATCGGTCCCCCCCCCTCGTACTTCAATCAATGCCGCCCCAGCCAGCAGGCACGTACGCAGCCACGATGTGCACAGCCACAGACACGGGTGTAACCGGCTGTTTTTTTTCTGCGACTTTCGAAAATATAACGTGAGAAATGTTGTGCGATAGTGCCCTGGCTCAAAGGATGTTAGGAATTTTACACAACTGGAAATTGTTTAGTTGTCCGATCGGGCAACTATAGCCAAGAGAATATAACTTGTCCGACGTAGACTTTCACTTGTCCCGGGCAATCGGACAACCGTTAGTGTCGAGGGCTGTACCGGTTTTACAGCCTTCTGTAATGTCGCATGATGCTGCCTATAGCTGCCACCAGTTGTACAACCTTGTATAGTGCCCTATGATGTTTGCTCTACATAGCTGTGAACACCTGCCACCACTACTGCAACCTTGTGTAATGCTTACTCTCTGTAGTTGTGAATGCCTGCCACCAGTTCTATAATGGCACGACGGCCGTGCCGACTGACCGCAATGACCCATGCGCGCCGAAGCGCAACACTAAGATGCTCAATATGACCTGCAGCCCTGAGGACAAGCGTAAGATCATCGGCGACACGTTCATGAAGGTCAGCGCCATTTTGTTTATGCTATTTGAATGGGGGTTGTCTACTCGCATTTTAAATCCTACTCACCTTTCCTATAATTATTACATGGTATATATTCATGCTTGTGAAAGTGAGTAAAGTTTTTGGCCTGTAAGATTTATCGGTGGGGTACACGACCAAATGTTCTTATAATGGAATTTGGCAACGTTTTTACATCGTTTTTTTTTTCTCTTAATAGGTGGCAGAAGAGGTTGTTTCCAAGTTGAATTTGAAAGCTGAAGACGTCTACTATGCACAAGGTAGGTGGAATAAGGAAATATTTTTGCAGATTTGGGTGCATTTGCTGCACAGACAAGTTCATTCTTCCACATATGATATCCATTCTGTGTGAGTTGGCATGAAACTGTCTATAGGGGAGCATATCCCTATAGGGTTCGTATGTTTCCTGGAAAACTTGGAAAGTCCTGGAAACTGGGCTAGAGTCCTAGAAAAACATGAAAAGTGGGAACATGTCTTTGTGTCCACGTTTGACCAATGATGATAACAAGTTTAATGTAGTGAAGATATAATTCTATTTGTTTTACTGTGTGAGAAGCAATAAAACTTGATTGCTTGGGGAACGAGTTCAGTAATTGTTCAATGGAATGTACAAGGTACAAAGTTGTGTTTGTAGGTGACTTTATTATCAAGGATTCTGAAAAATGGACCTTTCAAGTCCTAGAAAACTCCTGGTGAATCTTTTGTCTTGGGCGTATGAACCCTACTGTAGTCACAATTGTATAATATTATTTGTTGTGCAGGAACACTGCGACCAGATTTGATAGAGAGTGCCTCAAGTTTGGCCAGCTCTAAGGCAGATGCTATCAAAACACATCACAATGACACTGACCTAGTGCGGGATCTGCGAGCTAAGGTCAGTAACAGGCGTTCTGAGGGCAATATTTTACCATGTTATTCTGAAATGGCCAACAGTTGACTGTTAAACCGTGCACCTGTGAAATTTAGCAGATGCATGGCAGTAAAACATATGTCATCTCAATTTCTACCTCTCGCTCTCTCTTCAGGGAAGAGTTGTTGAACCCTTAAAGGATTTCCACAAGGATGAGGTTAGATTGCTAGGAAAGGATCTAGGGCTTCCCGAGCAGCTGGTGCAGAGGCACCCTTTCCCAGGTACAGTTCAACTCATAGGGATGGGAAATTGTGGTCTCTTTTAATCGGCTTGCACATTCCTTATAAATCTATTTAAAAATTCTCTGCTTTGGATTATAGTCCTTGTCAAAGATTTGTTGTTGGTACTTACTTCACCTCTTTGCTGGTGAACTAATGCCGACCAGATTTTATTTTTGTGGAAAGAGAGATAGTTAATTCCATCTCTCATATGTTCATAACTAACAGTAGAGCTCCTTAATATTTTACGGTCGAGGCTATATTCATCCATTATTAGTTCATACTTGTCGTAAATGCTAGCAGAGGGCATTAATTTGTTTATGTATCTGTCTTTCAGGTCCGGGTCTGGCCATTCGGGTAATCTGTGCTGATGAACCTTACATGTGTAAGGATTTCAGCGAGACCCAAGCCCTTGTTAAGCTCATCGTAAGCTATGCAGAGTCTTCCAAAAAGGTCAGCATTTGCACTCATGTGTTTTACACACTATTTCTGTCTTATTTGCATTTTAGTCCTCACCATTTACAATCATACTCGTTCTCTTATGTCTGTTTGGTTGTTTGTTTAAGTATTTAAAAAGTTCATTTCTCAAATAGTTGATTTTTAGCTCATCTGACATAGTCAGATGCAGCTTGTAGAATCGCATGATCGTCCGTCCGTCCGTGCGTCCGTGCGTCCGGCCGTGCGTCCGTCAACAGTTGGGCACAAATCTTAACCGCTCGATGTACGGTCACGATATTCCGGACGTCGGGGGGGATCGTCAAAACGAGTTGGGATGTCAAAGCTGGGGGTCAAATTCAAAGGTCAATAGGTGTAAAAGAAGGGGGAACATTCCCTCCTTAACTTAAGGTATATGGAGGAAATGCAGAATTGTGGCACAAATCTAAACGGCTCGACCTAGGCTCGTGATAGTCCGTGCGTGTATAGCATCATGGTAGGAAAGCCATCACTGTGCGAAATTGGAGGTCACAGTCAAAGGTCAATGGGGCACAGGGCAAGATTTTAGACATTTCTGAGGACATGGTCTGACGGACGATTGAAAACTTTTTTGTTTAGCGGTGACCTAGCCTTTTTATGGCTTTATTGAAAGGACATGAAATGTACTTCTGCTGACATGCGAAAGAAGAGAAGTGTCGGATAACCTTTTGACCCTCAAGAGGAGGGAACATGGATTTGTTGACTGTTAACAAAGGACTGAACTGCTTTTGCTATTGTGGTTGTGAGGCTTGTTGCAGTGTGGCAGTTCAATTGCAAAGGCAAATGTTTGTTGAACAAGGTTTACGCTCCTTAAATTGTATTATTTTCTAAAGCAGTCTGTATTAGCACCCTGAGTAGCACCCTGTAATAGCACACTGTAATGAACCCTGAATGCTCGCGTGTGTAGGCAAAAAACATGGGGCAGCCCATACGCATGCATGGGGGATGACTGCACTATTCTAATCATAATTATTGCCGGCAACTGCAATGCAGATGTGTGTAACTCACAGCTGAGCGAAATTCTCGCCTGCCTGAATATACTTGGATTTCACAAACTCATGGAGTGAAGTTATCACGCACGAAGGGTGATGCCATCTTTGATTATTGATGACACTTGCACGCGCCATCTCCGGCAACTGCTTTTGCTATTAGAGCCCCCGCCACCCGCCCCTCCCCCCACTCTCCTCCTCCCCCCACTTCTCCCCTCCCCTCACTCTCCCCCTCCCCCCACTCTCCCCCCACCACCACCATACGCTCCGCGCTCGACGCATATCCATGATAACATGTTAATATAGCGAAGTCATAAAGTTACACAGCTGTATCTTTATTACTGTACTACCGTATAGCAAAGCCTAGCTATCATAGATTTTAGATCTGTATTAGTAGTATCCTAGATATATGCTCTGAGTGCGAACGTGGTGATGGGAGGGTGCTCTTCATTCGTTTGCCAGTGAGATTAGCATCAGAAAACCTGCCGTCAGGTGAGCGCTGTCGCTCTGCGGCACTTGTTCTTTATGCTTTGAATTTCCTTTTAGTATGATGTACCAACAGGGCATATATGCCCTATACTATGCCTATGCAGTGGAAGTTTAGTAGGCTTCATCTTGTGACGTGTATAACAAAGTCAATAAGTAAATTTGCCTAAAAACTCTTTAACTTGCGCAATTACTCACTTCACATTCTAGCCACATCTCTTGTTTACACGAATTGATGCAGCGCTCACTGACGATCAAAAGAAAATTTTGTACAAATTGTCATCGGAAAACGAACTTGCATCCACCTTGCTGCCTATCCAGTCAGTGGGAGTTCAGGTAGGCGTATCATCGTTGTAGTAGGTCCTTGGAAGCGTGGAAAGCCATGGAATTTAAAATACTACTTTCCAGGTCCTCCTGGAATACTAGTGTGTGTTTTACGGTAGGGGAATAAAATCGCTGGTGGGATTGAATAACATGTATTCAATACTAGAATGCATTTAACTTATTACTGTTTTCATCCACTATGATTTTAGCAGCATCCCTGCCACGATGTCGTCATCGTACTCGCGCACACTGTTTCACATGTTGTACTTGTGATGCCTCACTATTACCTCTTGCTGTAGGGAGATTGTAGGACATACAGTTATGTAGTCGGCATTTCTAGTGACCAGCAGCCTTCTTGGGACAACCTCATGATGCTCGCAAAACTCTTGCCAAAGATATGTCACAACATCAACAGGTGATCGATGCATTTAATGTTGATTTCATATCAATATCTTGCTTCTTATAACCGTGAAGAAACAACATTAGCTTGTTGTACCTGGTAGTGCAGTAATTGTCTCCTAACAATCTCATAAATCACAGATATCGTTTCACTGATTTATATCAGTATATTTAGGTATATATAGCTTTATATTGGGTAAAGGAGCATTATTGTGCTTGGCTACATGACAAGTACCCTCCTTACATTGGCAAAATGGTGGTTTAGCAGAAATTCCTATCTTCTTCAAACATATACAGACAGTATTCTAAATGTTATTTCGTGTGGTGAGAACAAGTAAAGTCAACTCTTTGACCTCATATACTCTATTCCTGCAAGCATTGACCCATGTGTGTGTGTTCACTGCCCTCTTCACTCACGGCAATGTTTGTTTATCTCAGGGTAGTATACATCTTTGGCGGGCGGGTGAAGGAGCCTGTGCTAGAGATCACCCCGACCTTTCTAACAAGTGGTGTTTTGAGTACACTTCGTCAGGTAATATGGAAATACGGACCACGATTGAAAAGCTGCTGGAAAAATACGTACCATTCTGTGCATTCAGCACAGTCCCTCGAAAACGAGATACAATCCGAGCACACTCGGATGGAGAGTTGATTGTGTACGATCTGCTCTTTCTCTCCGCCTCCCAGTAAAACCGTGCTTACATCATTGAAACCTAGAGAAAGCCAGCTTTCCGATATTCTGAGCAGAGCGATGCTGTTCGATCGACTGTGTATGCGTGTTGATATGGCATTATAACATAACAGAGTAGTAAAGTTATGTTGACATGATGATGTGCTGCCAACTTTACATGCTAACACGATAAACATGTCTAAACTAGTCTATCTTGACAGCCGCCGACCTAGACACAACGTCAAAGGAGGCATAGATGACTCTCTTAGTCAATTACGTCTAGTACTCTTTCACAATCAATAGAAAGGCTGTAAAATTGTTGCAGGCGGACCACGTTGCCATGACAGTGCTTGCCTCGCGGAATCTCACGCGGGTCATCAGTCAAATGCCTGTGATCCTCGTTCCTGTGCACTTTGACCGTGACACCACTTACCGGGTGCCGTCGTGCCAGCGCTCAGTCGTTGTGCGCACCTTCATCACGTCTGACTTCATGACGGGTATACCGGCGACACCCGGCAAGCAGATACCAATAGAGGTGAGTCAGCAGGTGGTTATAGTGTAAGGTGTACAGTTGAATCCGTACATGACAGCGACTCAGGGAAACACAAAAAGTAACCTTTCTGGTACAAAAGTAAGTATATAGTATTTCGACATAATTTTTTACTACAGCAGTTTTTGTGGAACTAGTTGTTATCGTAGGAGGTTTTACTGTATGCAGAGTGACTATTGCACAGGTAGCACAGTGATGCAGAGTGATGAAATAAAAGTTTATCTCAGAATTGATTTTTCATTTTTGTGTACTGTGTTAAATAAACGAGGATTAAAGTCTGATTGCAGATTCGTGGATGAATGGCGCACAATTTCTGAACAGTGAAAAATTCACCCTAATAAGTGCTACGGAGAGTCATTGTGCAGATAAGTTTGTGTTAATGGCGCTCATAGGGTCTATGTCCCCAAGGTACTGCCGGAACATACCCTGGTAACTATCTGATATGGTTAGGGTTAGGGAGTAGGCGTAGGCGACTCCCTAGACTTGTTAGTGAAGTAGGCGAGGTACAGTCCGGCATATTAGATAGTACCAGGGTACGTTCCGGTATACCGGACTGTACCCATGGTACGTTCCGGCAGTACCCTGGGGGGCATAGACCCTCTCAGCGTTAATGGCAGCAAAATCTGAAATGAACTCATGTTTATTTCTGTTGATTTACAGGCTCTGGATGAGATGGTTGCCGAGATACAGAAAGTCCCGAACATATCACGCGTGATGTACGACCTCACTGCCAAACCGCCCGGCACGACAGAATGGGAATAACGAACTGACCAGCTAGTGTGCTGATTCATTAAAAAAGTGACACCTCTGACCAGTAAACAGTTAATGGGTGCCCACCTAAACTTTTCTCATCATTTTCCATTATCGGAACTCGGTGTTGAGGAACAGTATCAATCCCTTCTATACGTAACACATTGTAGCCTTTATTACGTAATTCTTTTGAATAAACGGTCTTCGTTTGTCAGACTGTTAGGCGGAAATAAAGCAGCTGTCTAATGCACTGGTTAATTATGTTTAGTCTCAGTAGGAAAGTAAATGTATGTTAATTGCATATTTTCTGCCATCAAGCACTCTGGGACAACTGGGTGGAAAAGTTGTATGCTACTGTCTGTCCATGCTAAAACACATTTCGTATACAGTGCAATACAGCCATGTGTGATTTGGTGTTGGTGAGATTTGGGCAGTTTTCCAAAAACATGCAATTAAGCTTTTTTTACTTGACTGATGACATTGTCTAATAGCCAGGTCTCATGTGCGCATGATGGGTTAATCCTGTTGTGTGGTGGATGTTTTGTCATGCAACGTACTGCAGCCACAACATGCATAGGTATGCAATGCCATGACGGTAACTGTAAATACCTAAAAAAAAATTAATGCTATTTTTGCAATACCAGACGAGTGAATATAAGTTTTAGGGGACTATCTGAAAGTATAGACATGACAGTTGCGTCATTGATTAGAATACTTCCTCCAAGAGGAAAACCATAATTTGAAATTGTTTCTGTTTCCTTTGTGATAACGTAACAGTGAGTTGGATAAGTGCTTGGCAGACAGTTGTTGCGTGGTGCCATCTCTCATTAATTCTTGATGGATTTTTTTCTTTATGAATCTGACCGGACATAGTAGTTGGACTATTACTGGAAAAATATACGCACGGCAGTATACATGCTATATGTAGTTATAGTCATTTTGTATTACCACACCAAGTATTAAAATGTGCAGTTTGCTCTGTCATGTTCGCTTGCTGTTTTTTTGGCATTTGTTGTTAGTTGGGGCAAGATGCGATTACTTACGGTTTACGGTTTTAGATGTACGGTTTTCCACGAATGTGTGCGATTGATATTAGCTGGTGTCTGTGAGATATAGATTAGAAATTAAACCAGCTACGATGGTTCATGTGTAAAGTTCTTGCGAATAATGTTGAAGATAATATGTTGCAAACAGCTCATTTGGTAATACATAATGACATTTTCATATAAAATAGTGGTTATGCATAAAATGACCATATAATACATCATAGTTGTACTGAAACTGAACTATATTTGAAAAAGTAAAAATTATATTGTTTGAGAAAAATGAAATGCAATGGAATGGTGGTGTTTTTTGACGTGTCATTGATTATATCAGAAGTAGATAATAGGGCTCATAGGGTCTATGTCCCCCAGGTTACTGCCGGAACGTACCCTGGTAATTATTTGATATGGTTAGGGTTGGGATTATAGGGTTAGGGAGTAGGCGTAGGCGACTCCCTAGACTCGTTAGTGGAGTAGGCGAGGTACGGTCCGGCATATTGGATAGTACCAGGGTACCAACCACTGCGATGGCTCAATGGTTGAGTGCTCGCCTCGTATGTGGAAGGTCGGGGGTTCAACTCCCGGCCGAGTCATACCAAAGACTTGAAAAATGGTACACACGGCTTCTCTGCTTAGCATTCAGCAAATAGAGATAGAGTGTGGCAAGTTAACTTGCAGTGCTACCAGTGGACTAACCCCCAGAGCGCGGTGCCTATCTCCGTTTCTGTAACCCTGAGGATGCGCCACTAGGCGCGGGATGGGATGGATGGATGGACCATCCCATCCCATCCCATCCCATCCCATCCCATCCCATCCCATCCATCCATCCCATCCATCCATCCATCCATCCATCCATCCATCCATCCATCCCATGCATCCATACATCCCATGTGCATGGGATGGATG